CTGCTTCCTTACCTCCTCTGCTTCCTTTCCTCCTCTGCTTCCTTACCTCCTCTGCTTCCTTACCTCCTCTGCTTCCTTACCTCCTCTGCTTCCTTACCTCCTCTGCTTCCTTACCTCCTCTGCTTCCTTACCTCCTCTCCTTCCTTACCTCCTCTCCTTCCTTACAGCTCGAGTCAATTATGTCATAAATAACAATGATTTGGTCATACCAGGTGTATACCTGATCCATAATCATATAGGTTTAAAATGAGATTGGATTATATTCGCCCTCCCGGATATACATGTTGTTATGATAGTCGCACACGTGATACACGCTATCATTCAATACTGCAAACATACTAAAGCTGATGGCATCTTTATCTGAGCTGAGAATACCTTCTCAGTTGATTTCTTAGCATACGCGAAAGTGACGAGACTGTAAAGCACTGCTGACATAACGTAGAACTTCATCCACAAAACTGCTGTCTACACATCACAAATGTAACGGGAATGCTCTTTCTTCTTTGTCACAATCAAATAACGTCCTATGAAGGTGTCTTGACTATCAGCTTACTCGAGATCGACTTAATAGAACTCTTCCTTTGCCTCAAATTTTCAATTATATTTTCATTCGTTCTGACCAACGCTCGAGAAGGGTTTTTAGTGGAAACGGCATTCTAGAGATCGGCAGATACAACCGATTGAAAAAGCAGTAACTGTTCTCGCCCGAACGACCAAGCTTCAAGGTCGTGTAATAAATATGACAGGATGTGTGTGTGTGTGTGTGTGTGTGTTTGTGTGTGTGTTTGTGTGACTATTTCGCAGTCATGTTGATATTTTTAAGTTTAGGACCTTGTCAATATTTTTCGCCAGTGGGGAGGGGAAGGGGGATTTTGGTCGCGAAACAATTAATGTACCTGATTTCCCCCCCCCCTAGGCTCTGTCATATTCTTATGATCCCCCCCCTCATTGGCAGTTGATTGGCGGTCAATTTTCTATAGTCCTCTTTTTGTAACATTTTGAAAACGACTGATCTCCACTTCGTTCCCCCCCGAAAGCCACGCGATCCTCCTCCCAAACCCCCCCCCCTGCTAAAGTAATAAATAATGACAGGTCCCTCAGGGCTGGAAATAATCTTTTTAAGTACAATTCTTCTGGTGCTCTTTCAAAAATATTGTCATCTGATTGGCTTTGCCACATACCTTTTATTCGTGAGGGACAGTGAGTAATGAGAAACGGTTGTGACCTACTCGTACCGTCATTCCATGAAAACATGACTCGTCCTGGAATGACTGGCAGATTTATACAACAAAGAATGAAGGTCATTTTATCGTGCAGTTTGATTGTCCAGTAGGTGACAACCTCGTTCCCAAAGTGTTCATCCGCGTGGAGAGACTATCAGCCCTTAGTGCCCGTCCGCGGAAAATACCCGGATAGTGTTCATCCGCGTGGAGAGACTATCAGCCCTTAGTGCCCGTCCGCGGAAAATACCCGGATGGATAGTACTTATCAGTGAAAAATTTTGAATGGTTTGACAGCCGCGAGGTTAGACAGATTGGAAAAACAGTGACTTTTCAATTCTGACAGGTATAACGTATTATTTAGCCAATGTACGGTTGCAAATCATTGACATTTGTGACAGACTGTACGCGTGAATAAATATTTGATTGATCTGCATTTAGTGGGTTTTGACGGTTTTTAACTGGCGCGCGGAAGAAAATTCAGTGGTGAACAATAAAGTCAATAGAGCGTTTATGTCTCCGAACTATCGGTCTAATAACGTTGCTCCATTTTCTGCCTTTAAAAGCGCACACATCCCACAATTCCTCTATTCGCTCCGACGAAGGGCTAACGCTCGAAATGTCAGCTTTGGTAATCGTTACGGTGGCCAATTTACCATTTCCACTTTGTTGATATATCCAAATTATATCGGTCTATAGTTTCCCCTTGGAAATTTGATGTTCTTAAAAATCTAGCATATATGTTTTAAGAACATCAAATTTCCGCGGGGCAACTATTAGCCGATAGTCTATTGTTAGTTGATAGTCTATTGTCAGTTGATTTAATATCACATTTATTCCAGCTGACATTATAAGAATCATGACATGGTAGACATTAATTAGAGCTATCAATGAATGTCACAACAAGTCACGCGTAGTTTATGCTTAACCACGTTTAGGGGTTTTCTTTGTACAGCACATTCGGCTTTCAATTTCAACGTGATAAATATTTCAATATCATGATGAAATCACTGATGTTTAACATGTTTAAACACGTGTAATTTTCAGTTGTCTTTCGGTTTTCTATTAAAAATAAGCAGTCAATTGACAATGAAACTTTTCAGGCGAATTTCCTACATGAGATCTCAGGAGTAAATGGGATAATATTTCCTATGTTTTTTATGACACATTAAAAAAGTCTATTTATCACTTCTTTCATTGTTGTGACTGACCGTGCAGCAAATGTTCTTATATCCAGGCAGTAAGTCAAGAGGAGTCCGGT